GTGAATGTAGATTTCTATGTGCTGACTAGCTGAGAATCAGAAGTAAAGACAAGAATATTCTTATGGGGAATATTTTAGGCTGAAAAGGTGTGTCACTGGGGAATTCAAACCCAGCTGGGAAATAAATTCCAAAGGCAGAAGACCATTCGGTTTGTCAAAAGGCTTGTCACATCATTAGGGCCGTCTTAAGGCAAGCAGGTAGGGACTTGATGGAGTCATTGTGGGCTCCTAAAATGGCCAAGGAAAAAGTACAACACAGGTGAGTTTTGGGGAAAACTTACTGAAACACAGTATTAATCATCTCACATTTTCTGTGACAATATCCTTTTTGGATATGGTTTGCAAGACCCCTGGGGCAGGATCCTTTCCAATTTAGACACGGTGAAGCATTTGCCTTGGGAGGTCGAGGATGCTGCCTCAGGACATTTAACAAACAGTGGTAAATATAGCATTGTGACATGATTGCCACCATGGATTGTCCAGGCATGTCTCATGGGGTATCATAGGTATATGTTGCATGCCCTCCCTTTTTTCCTGTTTATTCAAGAGGATTTTCACCTCTGCAGTCCCTGGCATGCAGGTCCCGGATGGCACTCCGACAAACAGGCAGCTGCTGGGCGAGGGGGGCTTTGAAGGCAATCACTTCATTAAAAATTTAAATGAGAAAAATTCCATGAATGAATATCTCTGGGGAAGGTGAAGAATTTTTACACCAGTGATTAGGATTAGGAGCAAAATAGGGGAAAACCTTGCCCTTTGTGTTCCTGTGAAGGAGGCTGCAGGTAAGGACCAGACTAGAAGCTGTTTCCCGCAATGCATCTCACAGGAAAAGCTATGCCCTCTTCAAAAGTTTCTTACCTTTGACACAGACAGCAGATTAACAGGTCTGAGAATGACCACAGGCCTAAGGATGGCCCCTGTGGTCAGTGGAGGGTTATCAATGCAGGTGATACCTCTGGTGATGCAGAGCTTGTCTTTCAGGACATTGTCCAATCTAATAGTCCAACAGCTCACAGTCCCACACACATTTATCTTCTCAGCAGACCAACAGGGGCCAAATTTTAGGTTATAAGTAGGCAAGATGCTGAGGGGTACTTGGGAGCCTTCAGAACACCTGTTTTGAACCTAAGATGGATACAGCCACCATTCTTAGAATCCAGTTACTATTGGGAGGAGGGACTTGGAGTGCTAATTTTGTAGACAACCATCCTTTTTTAGCTGTGCATTCTTTTTAGTGACTGCATGGCCTGATGGGATGGTGTAGCTCACTGATCTGCCTGAAAACTGGTGGTCTTTGATCTTTTTTATTATACTTTGAAGGGCTACACAAATTCCAGTTTTTGTCTAATGTAGAGAAAGGTCAGGACAACCTCTATCTAATGTTCTGCAGTCACAGGGTAACTTAAACCACCCATTCAAACACACCTCATAAAAATTGTCATTTGTGTATCCAGTCCAGCATGGTAGAGGGGCTTTAACCTAGTTTCTGGGTGAGCAACCCATAATTTGTGGCCCTTCCTAGGTTCTCCATTGGCTGAATCCCCCCCCACCCATGTCATGTCAGGACAGGGATGTCACACACTTCTGCCAGTCCCTTGCCCACCTCTGGACCATTTATTTGCATTTAATCCCCTCTGAATTCAAGGGGCAGCTTGATTGCCCCAAAATGCATCATCCCATGCCACTTAGCAGCACCATGCTACCAACTTCATTGCTGGTAAAAACCCACCACCTCGTGTGCCATGGTCCCATCAAAAGCGGCTCTGGGAGGAAGAAGCCGCGTTTTTCCTTTAACCTACAATAAAGCAAAGCAGTTCAAAGAGCTGGAAAAGGAGGTTAACAATCTCTTTGAAATGTAGGTTCAAATTCCCAGCACGGCCACAGTCAATTATCAGCAAGCGCTGTGACACTTCTCCTACTGACGAGGGAGAGGAGGGAGGGGAGCATGTGGCACAGAGGTCCAGACGGGCAGCAGCGGGGGTTAAAGGACCTCACCAGGGTGGTGAGAAAGGTACCAGGATTTTTTTCAGGCTGATTAACACTTCTGCAGTGCGCCCAGAGTAGAGGCACTGGAGTGGGTGGAGCTGGGCAGGGTGGCAGCACATTCCCCTGCCCAAACCCCTTTGTGTCTGGCAGGGCTTTTTCGAGGGATGCACAGTGCCTGGCTGTTGCTTTCTCCCGGGTGTTCCTCTGTGGCAGCATGAACCACTTTTATTTTAATCCCATTAATGAAAGGCGGTGAGTGCAGGGGTGGGGATGGGGCAGGAGGGGGGTGGGTTTGTTTTGGCGGTGAGGATGGGTGCACACAGGCATACAAATGCTGGGAGACAAAGGCTGTGATTAAGGGCCAGTACTCCAGCTCCCCACTTATTACAGGAAAGGATTTATCTGATGGCCTAGCTTCAGCTCCAGTTTTCCACCTTTTAATCAGGTTCCCAGGTCTGCTTGTCCACTCAAAAAGGGAAGGAAGAGGAAATCTCAGGGTGATGAAGCAGGAATAATACTGTATAAACATGCATGGGTCAGAGGGTTTCACTGCCCCAAAACTTTCCTAGGAGGCAGATCCCAGGGCAGGCAGAAGGATTATGCCCAGCCATGCAGCATTAGTTTCTGGCATGGCAAGAGTGCATCTGTGCTTTCCCGCCTGACCAAGCCAGGGTTGTGTGAAACAAACGTGCTGGAAATAAAAACCTTCTGCAAAATGGAAAATGTACAGAGGAGCAGCTATTTTTAAAATGGACAGCACCTACTGCTGTTATGAAGTCAGCTACATAATCAGTCAGGAAGGGACTTCTGTGGGCTGACAGCTGACAGCCAGGAGAAATGGTTCTAGCAGATTGATGAGAAGAAAATGAGAGTTTTTGGGTACTGGGAGGTGCATGTTCTTTAATAAAGAGAAGAATTTCTGTCCTGTGCTGCCCTGGGCACAAGGCAGATGGGGGGAAGTGACTCTCCCTGTCTTTTCCCATGTGCTGGAAAGGAGGGATGAGATGCTGATAACTCTCCAGCAGACAGAACACCGCAAGCAAATGCAAGCTCACTCACTTCTTCCTCCTCCCTTACCCAGCCTGGCCTTATTGCTGAGCCTCTGCTGAGGTTTTCCTGCTTCTAAAAATGTTGAGCCTGTAATTAAAACGCCCATCTTGCTTGCCAGGGCAAACATATCTGACTGTGGAGCTGAGCTGGTTTGGTGGAGACATCCAAAGCTTGCATCTAACCAACCTGGCTGGCCTTCCTGGCAGGGATGGCTTTCCTGGCACGGGTGGTTTTCCTGGCATGGGTGGCTGTTGATGCCTGACATCAGGTGTCCTTTACACCATGTTATCAAGCTGACAGGAAGCTTGAGTGAGGGCCTCCTCGACTCATCCAAGCCTGATGTGCCCCGATGTGCCCTTCTTCCTCTGTGGGGACATCAGTGCTGTTTCAGGTGTTTGTGCCCTGCTGGTGAAGAAGGGACTTAAATGGGAAATGTGGGGACACATGTTGCCTGTTTCTTCCCATTCAGAGGACTTTGGAAAGGCTATTTAAATAAGAAATAGTAATCAAAGCAATATTTTAATTAGCAATAATTGGAATAATAAATTAAGAATTTAATTAAATAATGAATAAAAAGCAGTTGCAAAATAAGATATTAAGGCAAGGGGACAAAGAAGTAGCAGGAGGGACAAGATCTAACACAGTGCTGGAGCATCACACATGTGGGGCATTCACAAGGAGGTGGGAGACCTTCAGACCCATGATAGGTCCCAGGATGTTGTCCTTCCCCAGGAGAAGAGGACACTCTCCACCGCTTTGGCTGAGCCCACACCCTAGGTCAGAAGTGATTCCAGCCCCAAGGGGTGTGGTGCTATAGCCTCATGGTCACAGCCTTGTGATGGATACCAGAGGAGCAGTCATCTCTTAATGGTTGGTGGTGGTGGCTTTTCCCCTACAGTCTATAGTAGTTCTATGAGCAAGATTTGGCCTTCCCTGGTGATCTCACACCCCAGGCTACTGTCTGACTACCTTGTATGCCATCCTGAAGGACAGGGCATTTTGGGGAAACTTTATCTTTTGTGATAAAGAACCAACAACCTCTTCCAGGCAGCTTGCAAGTCTGCCTGCCTGGGTGGAAGAGGCAGTTGTTCCTCCTGGCTTGGGAGGAACAGGAACATTGCAGCTTCCCAGGGCAGTTTCCTCAGTGGGTCTTTGATTGCACCATTTTATACACAGCACCAAGAAACCTTTAAAATTAAATTTTCTATTTAAGAGCAAGAAGACACCTCCAGAGAGGTTTCTATTTATTCTTTAGGTGCAATGGCTCTGCATGATCTTAGCCCTCTGTGCAGGAGCCCCAGCTCTGCAGAGGAGGGTGCTGAGACTGGATAACGTGTGTCTCACTGCTAGAAGTGCTGTGGTCTGGCAGTGTTCAGCTTTCTGTGCTGTGGCATCACTTCTGCACCCCTTTGCTCCCTCTTACCCCCACAGAATCATAGAATCTTTAGGGATGAAAAAGACCTCTAAGATCATCAAGCTGAACCCTTAAACCAGCACTGCCAAGTCCACCCTTAAACCTTCTCCCTAAGCACCACATCTAACATGTTCTTGAACACTTCCATGGTCTTGTGGTGTCTCCCCACATCACCCCACCTGCTGCAAATCCGGTCTTGCAACACTAGCAGACCATGTCCCAGATTGCTCAAATCCATGATCTCCACTTGCTCCACAAGCTTTGGAGCAGGTCCTGGAGCAGGGAATTTGCACCACATGCTTTCTGCTGCTTCACAGCTATGTGTTCCTAATTTCCTTCAAGTGAACCAGAGAAGCTGTCAAGCCTTTCCATCACTGAAGAGCACAGTAAGCCAAGCACCGTGGGACAAATCCTGCCCCCAGTCTGGAGATGCAACACCCATGAGGGCGGTGGGGATCAGCAGAGCAAGGAGAGAAGCTGTGTTGCATTTCAGACCCAGCGACAGCTGCCACCCGCTCAGCACTAAAGCAATAAATCTGGGGGAGCTGGGTTTATTCTCCTCCAAATTACTTTATTATATTGTGAGCAATCACAAAGCCTTACAATGCTGCAGAGGTTCTTTAAAAAAACAGACAAACACAGCGACAGTATTTGCCAGCTTTTGCTAAGACTAGTTTAGCTAGCAGCTAGCGTGAGATTACACAAGGAAATCTTGCAGTCTTCAATTGGATTGTCACATTGGGTTTTAAATTTACCACAGTGCTGCAAAGACAGTAACTTTGACAGGAGGTGATAACCGTAATGTTTCATCTATGTACAGGCTTAAAAAAGTAAACAGCTTTCTTTAAAAAAAATACATTTTCTGCCAGCAGAAAATAATTCTCTTAAAAAGGCAAGATCCAGTAAAACCCACATATCTTTCCCCACAAACTGCCCCGTCTTGCACTGCAGTTTGTTTCTGTTACCCTCCAGATCTCTGCCCATAGGCAGCCCCATTGCCTTTTTAAGAAAATCAATATGTTTCCTATGATTGTGAAGGCTGGTCAAACATTGCAACGGCTCAGTATAGGGGGAAAAATCCCCAAAACTGATGGAAGGGTTAAAAATCCCACCCTAAGCTACCCAAACAAATTATTGAAATGGAGATAGATGGAAATGTGGGAGTACCAAATTTCAGTATCCAAAGTTAGGTGTTGACTCTGACTTTAATGGAGTCTGTGGGTTTGGGCAACATGGTTTCCACTTTCCAAGACTTTTAGGGGTATGAGGACAAAACCTGAGCTTCTTCCAACACTCTCAAAGACAGTTGTGAGATGAGTTTATATCTGCATCACCTTTACATGGATTTCCCTAACTCAAACATTAAAAGTGGCCCTGATGCAGGGCTGGGTTTAAGAGACCAAACTGCAGTTCAGCTCGGGCAGGACCCCCATCCACAACATCCCATCCCCCCGGACAGAGCATGCCAGATGTGGAGCAGACCTCAGCAGTCACCTCCATTGCTCCTACAAGCAAGTTGAAGGCTTCACACATGGCATTGAGTCGTGCTGTGCTGCCTTCTCCCACTTCCTCTTAGACTGGAGAAAAAGAGGGTCCAGAGGGGTTTTCTTTCGCTAGCATTTGAGCAATGGAGGGAAATAAATGAGTAAAACTTGGAGGACCAGGCTTTTCATGAGATTTCTGTTTATCAGGTTCACTTGGCAACCAAAGAGCTGTGTGAGAAAAAGAAAAGCCACAACTCTGGAAAAAAACCCCAAAGATCTTTTCTCTGATAAGCAAAGTGCTCCAGGGCCACATGCATTAGTGTTAATTCTTCCCCTGGCACGTTCTCAGAAGTGTTTTGGCACGGCAAGTTGCCTCACATATGCCCAGATGAGCTGCAGATGTTGCATTCAGATGGGGAATGTCAGCCTGGAAACAACCTACTCTCATATCCTCTAGGACTTCATCTTGGTTTGATAATGTCATCAAGAAAAAATCCCTGTCAGAGTTTCTTTCCAAGCTTCCCCAGAAAGGGCAGAGGGATTGTTTTCCTTTTTTTTTTTTTTTTGAGCTAGCCTACACAACCTCTTCCCTTTGCAACCTCCCTCATCCCAGGCTAGTTCCTGGGTGAGATGTGGCTGTTAGCAGACCCCTCTGCTGCACACCACCTCTGAACAATGGCTCACCGAGGTTGCAAAGACGGGAGGCTGCCAAAGCCGGACCTAAGTTAATTAGACATGAAAAGGATCAAGGTAGGAAAACAAGGAGAAATGGGTGGGAAAATGTCTCGACTTACTCAGTGTTCATTGCACAGCTATGCAAATAACATGTAAAACCCAGCACACTGGGTGCACCCTGTATTCAGGTTTGTCTGGAAATGTTTCTTCAAGACTGAAAGTGCATGACAGAAAACAGGGTGCTCCTAATGAAGGCAGCATCCAGAAGGCACATTTTGGGGAGTAATAATTAAAAGAAGGATGATGCATGGGTTTGTAAGCAAGCAGCTACAGAGCTGGTACATTTTGGTGTGTGCTCTCCAGAGGTATAGCTTTGCTCCTACAAACGTGTCTGAGGCATGAAGGGTTTGCTCCAGACAGACTGTTCTGCCCTGGGACCTGCAGAGCGACTTGTCCCTGCATCTTTTTTTTTGATACTTTGAAGGGCTACACACATTCCAGTTTTTGTGGAAAACTGCTCTTGAGCCAACAGGATGAGTGAGGACCTCAATGCACCGGGTAAAATCTGGAGCCTGCAGATAACGCAGGCTGAGATTTGAGAGTTTATAAAATCCACAAACAATCAACTATTGGCAAGTACAAATATATAAATTATTGACAGTTTTACAAAAGGCACACTGCAAGCCATCTCAGTCCGACACCTGTACAAGTCCCATGGCCCCCCACCCTCCCTGCCCCACTCCTCCTTCTCCCCAATTTTCATCACGAAACATAAGGTGCTGCTGCTACGGATCCATGGCTGTCATAGCAACTGAGGACTTCCTTTTTGGTCAGCCCAATTTGTCGGTGGTACTGTCCTTCTTTGATGGTCTTGAGACACTGAATGTCCTTCCCTAAGGTGATGCTTTTGATGGAAGGCAGGTATTTCAGCAAAGTCTTTGGCAAGGATGTTATGCCTGTCCCAGACAGGTTGAGCTCTTGTAGGGAGTTCAGACCAAAGATAACCTCAGCAGTCAGCGACTTCAAGTTGGGATTGTTGGATAAATCCAGAACCTGAAGAGCTTGGAGTTCCTTGAAGCTATGAGGAGATAGCTCTCTGAAACCATGCAGGCCACTGAGGGATAAATGAATCAAGTCTTTCAGCCCCGTGAAGTCTCCTTTCTCAATCTTAACCAGAGGGTTTCCATCGAGATTTAAATATCGGAGAGGAATGCCTTGGAGGTTTGGTACAAATGTTAGCCTGTTTCCAGAAAGATTTAAGTTCTGGATGTTTGGAATGCTCTTTTCATGGTGCCTTGTAATTGTGCTGAGCATATTATTGGATAGATCCACATTCAGGGATTTGCCCTGACCTTTTGAAGCAAAAATGTCCATAGCTATATCCAAAAGTTTGTTATTGCTCAAATCTATGTCACTTAGAGGAGAACTGGAGAAACAGTCCTCCGGAAGGACTTCCAGAGAGTTATGACTCAGATCCAAGGACTCCAGGTACCGAAGCCTGGAGAATGTTGTGGAGGAAATCTTGGCAATTTTGTTGTAGCTCAGGTCGAGACTCACCAGGGTGGTGTATCCAGGGCCAGTAAGCATCGATTCATTTATTGTTTCCAGTTTGTTTGATGATAGATCCAAGTAGGAGGTATCCAGAGGGATTGGGACAGGAACAATGTGTGAGCCTATTCCGCTGCAGTCCACCTTGGTCAAGCTAAAGCTGTCAAAGAGACCAAAGGTTTCCACTTCACAGTGGCAGCCAGGGAAGCAGGTTTTTGTGGTACCAAAACAAGGAAGGAGAAGCAGCAAATTGAACCAGGCCAGGAAATGCATTGTTCTCCTGGAAAACAAGACAATAGAAAAGCAGATTTAATTGCTATAGAAATTACTTGATGAAGGATGTATAACTGTTTGACTTATACAGTCTTGACCTTTCTCTTTACAAAGGGAGAGATTAAGCATACCCTTGAAAAGCATGGATATCCCAGAGACTTTTTCTCTCATGTTATGAATCCCAGTGGCAATTTAATGTAGAAAAAAATTGGGTCAGTAGTCTTTACACACATAACCAAATAAAGACAAAATTGGAAATGAGCTGTAAGAACAGTTGGCTGCTTTAAAGCATGATCTATCAAACATATATGATTTTAAGTGGACCATGGAAGAAGCTAAGTGACAGCTCAAACACTGAGTCATTTCACAACCTGGCAAACTTCAGCACACAGACGTCCTTCATGTCAGGGCCTTCCTGTGAGATTTGGGAGCCCTGGCTTCAGGACCCTGCATTGTCAGGTTGGAGAAATAATTTAGGAGGCTGTGGGAGCCTTAGGTGTCTAAAGGCCTTACTGGGAGAAACCAAAATTCCATTCAGATTTCATACAGGCAACAACATCCTCAAAACAACATCCAGGATTAACAGCTGAAAAGACCAGCTCCTTACTGCCCAAAAGGACATCACACCTCCCTTTCTTGGACTTCAGATGCAAATTTTAGTAGTTTGGATTTGTATCAGGTGGCTAAAAACAGCCCTCCTTGGCCTGGTGGCAGCTCCTACCAGAGCAGAGGAAACAAGGCTTGTTCAGCCTAACCCAGCCTTTGCTGCAGAGGGCCCAGCCACCAGCACAATGGAGAGAGACAATTTGCTTCATATAGAGTCTTTGGGGAGCCTCTGCTAATTGCATTAAGTATTCTCTCTGATTAACAATGCCAGTAAGCAAGGATTTCTCTCCACTGCTTTGGTTTTGACCCTTCTCCCTCCAAGACATTTCTGTCTCTCCATCATCTCACACAAAGAGAGGCAGGGAGCTGATCTGCACCCTCCAGATTTGCTGAACATCTTCAGATGATATCCTAACAAATCACCCACACAACAGTGGGCAACAACAGCTGCATGATTTCAAGAGAGCCAAAAGAATCTTTAGCTCTGAGTCTCTGGAGAGGCTACATAGGAGCATGTCAGAATCCTGCAGGTCAGCAGAGGCAGCAAGGACTGTCCTCACCGGTTCCTATTGCAGTCATGCATTGCACTCCTCGTGCCTTACAAACAAGGTCTCCAGAAGGCTGGAAACAAAAAAATCTCACCAAACAAGATAAGCAGATCCATCAGCACTGGTCCTTGGCTATGCTGCTGGCCATAAGCAGACACTCATGTGCCAACTGCTCATTTAACAAGAAAAAAAGTAAAATTTACATGAATGTTTCCATCCCCACCTCAGTCTCCCTGGTCTCTTACCTTTCTCATCACTGTTTAAAGCACTTCATTAACTTCCTTGCAGTATCATCTTTCCCACACACCCTTTGATCTGGCTGAGATTCCTTCCTCACCGCTCTTATACCTTCCCAAGACCATTCCTAGAAATTCACACTTCCTCTTCCCTCACCCATCCCTTGTCATTAATTTCTCTCCCTTTTCAGCATGGTCTTCTTGACCCTGCTCTCATTCCCAGGAGACTGACTGGGGACTACTTGTCAATGCAGAAAAAAAAGTGCAAAGTGGGGAAAAAGGTTGCAAAAATACTGTCCTGTATTGTACAACTCACTGATGTGAGTTGTACAGCAGTGTCTCCCAGATCTGCAAATAGAGAGCAGAGACTGAGACTCTGGCCAGGTTGCCTGCAACTAAACCTTTGCTAATGGCCAGCTTGTAATCCTCTGGGGTCCATTATTCTATAGAACAACAGAAAATTGGTAAGACAAGCCCTAGCCTCAGCCCATCTCAACTGTTTCTTGAGAAAACACATATGTATGCAGAGGGGACATAGGGGGTAGGGCTCTTCTCTGCAGACACTTTTCCAAATATCCCTTTCCTAATGACATCAAGGCTGATCCCCTCTGGTTCTGTGTGCACAGATATAGCTTGCTGCCTTCTGCAGTCCCTCCTAAAATAAATACTACTGTTTTTATTTTATCAGGAAGCTGCATTTGGATTGCACTGAAATGTTTTATTAACAGGGGAAGTTACAGCAGTGGGGAACTCCTTGTAAACTAAAACTGCAAAACCTCAAATGTTAAATATCTCACGTACAGGGAAGTACCTACATTGGTATCAGCCCAATCTACTGGTATTTCTCTTTCCAAATCCTACCCAGTGGCTATTCCCACTTGATATCCCTATATGGAAAGGACCTCCCAGCTTCTCCTTCAAAAGTGCAGCTCATTTCCTCATAGAATTGTTTTAGCTCTGGTGGGAGCTGGATCATACACCAGGAAGTCCAAAGACACACCAGTGTGAAATTTTACATTCTGAGCACTGCTAAAACCTTCTTTTCTCCTTCTGGGGCACCTGAACAAAAGTAAGAGGACAAAATCCAAAGCCCTAATTCAACTGGGAACAGACTTCTGATGGGGCCTGTAGCGATATGACAAGGGATAATGGTTTTAAACTAAAACAGGGGTGGTTCAGACTAGATCTAAGGAAGAAGTCTTATGTGATGAAGGTTGTAAAACATTGCCACAAGTTGCCCAGAGAAGTGGTAGATGCCCCACTCCTGGAAACATTCAAATCCAGGATGGATGGGGCCCTGAGCAATCTGGACCAGTTGAAGATGTTCCTGATTATTGCAGGGACTTTGACTGGGTGGTCTTTAGAGGGTCTATTCCAACCCAAGCTATTCTATGATTCTGTGAATTGAGAGAAGATTGAAAAACGGTGCTGGGCTTTGATATGCAGCTGCTCAAACCCTTTTGACGTGGGAATTCCCCTTCTGATCAGCCTCAAAAATGATTGCCAGAAGTGGGCAGATACAGTGACTCTCACTGCAACATCCATCACTTCAGCCAGCAGTAAAGACAAAACATTACACAGCTGAAATGCAGTACACAAAGCTCAGCTGAAGTATTTGCACAGCATCTATTGCCTCTTCCCTCCTCACAGCACTGCCACAGATTCTCCCTTACTGGCTCTGCAATTGCTTTGCAGATGGGCTACAATCCATTAGTACCAGTCAGAAACTCCCTTATGGAGCAGCATGGAGCATTATAAGCTAACATGCCACTTGGTTAATATCTCTGATAAAAGATAGGAGAAATAAAGTTACTGGTCATCTTCCAGTCCAAGAAAAAGACTCCTGCATTGCCAGATAATTGGCAAAGAGCTTAGTCAGGTACAGGCATGTTTTATCATTGTGTGGAACAATTAATAGCGCTCTTTGAAATGAGGAAAGAAACACACCGCAGGCATTTACAGTTCTGTGTACAGTGTGTATTGGAAACTGCACCAAAATGCCTTTGGATTGCTGCCCACCAGCTGCTTTGTTGATAGAGGCAGAAAGCCAAGGTATCCCTTTGTAAAAGGAAGAGGAGTTATCCTCTTGCAGCACTGAGGAGTTTCACCTAGGGAAACACCATGAACAAGAAACTACCAGCACCATCACCTAAGATAGTGAGGGGAAAGCCACTGGGAGAAAGCAGCCCACCCTGGGGCTGGTTTAGCCATGTCCTCTTCATTTGAGCTATTGGGCTATTGAGGTATGGAGACCCCAGTGATAAGTTTTGGCCATCTGGCAGCTCTAGGGGGTCTTTTTAAACCCACTGATTGCAATAGGAGCTGCTGGGGGTGCAACATCTCCCCCCACGTTTCAGGTGCCTGCAGTGACTGCAGGGCTCTGGTCTTTATATCTTGCTCATCCTTTCTGCAGGACAAACCTAAGGAGAGCCTGTGGTGGTAAATGGAGCCAGTGTCAGACCAAGCTTCTACAGGATACCAGATTTCCTCTGAACCCACATCTCTCCTTTAACCTGCAGCTGCCCTTATGCCTTCTCCCCACCATGCTCATCCTTTGCAATGCTGTGTGGCAGGACTCACACAGAAAACTCACACTGAGATTTCCCAGCCAAACATTAAAAGCAGAGTGCAGAGGAATGGCAGGCCTCAGATGATGATCAGGGAGTGAGGTGGGAGAGAGGAAAGCTTTGTTATGGTGCTGTTGCAAATTCACACTTCTCACTGCACTTGATTTCTTCTCCTCTCCCTTAAAGACTTTTCTCATTAGGGAGATCAGCTGACACATCCCTCCCTGGATGAAAGCCCATTGCCTGGTCCCCCTCAGGAATGGGGATATTAAGAGGATGCTACCTCCAGTTGCCCTGGCAACCACCAAGCTGGAATTCCCCATGGCAAATAAATCAATTACTAATTAAAGAAATAATACAAGGGGAGGTGTTTTAAAGTTTGCTGTTTGATGGAGTCAGGAAACAGCTGCCCCATTCTTCATTCCCTCAGCCTCCTTCAACACGAACAAAGTACTGTCTGAAATGCAGCTGGGGTTGGGGCTAAAGGCCCAAATTCACCCAATGACACTTGAGGTACATGGGTAAGAAGTGTGAAAAAAACCCCAAAACACCAGGTTGTCTCTACAGTGGGGTGAAGAGAAGGAAATTGCTCCAGAAGGGGATGAAACCAATCTAAGGCCATGCACATCCCTGGAGATATCCCTCTCTCCCTTGTCCACGGCAGAGTAGGATGCCTAGTCTCCCTGGTTACTGCTTCCCACCCCACTCTTGGCTGCATCTTCCAAACCCTAGTCTCTCCCAATAGCCAGGTGCACTTGGATAAACCAGTTTGGCTCACTGATCCAACAAAAACCCCTCTGATCTTCCTCCTTCCCCTTTCCTGGGTCAGTATTCCAACAGATTCAGGTGACCATCCACAGGGTTACCAGCTCCCACACAGGAGTGGGGAAAAGAGAACCTGTCTTTTCCACAGTAGCCCACAGTTAGGCCAGATCAGATATGACATGAATCTTTTAAGGCAGTGTGGACAGATCCTGGTACTTTCCATGTTTCTTGCCAATATTAATTCTGGCTCAGCTGCAAGTAGGGAAGATTTCAAAGAAAAAAGGC